TACAACAGACTAATTTTTAGACTAATCTAATCTGCTAAGCGGTTTCCATGGATACCGCAAAAAAAAAACTTCGAAAATTCGTGTTTTTCGGTCTTTGGATCCATTTTTTGGCGATTTAGGTGCATTTTTAGACTAATCTAATTTTAGACTAATTTAATCTAATTTTAGACTAGACTAATTTTAGACTAGATTAATTTTAGACTAGATTAATTTTAGACTAGGCTAATTTTTAGACCAGCCTAATTTTAGACTAGACTAATTTTAGACCAGACTAATTTTTAGTCTAATCTAATTTCAGACTAATCTAATTTTAGACTAATCTAATTTTAGACTAATCTAATTTTTAGACTAATCTAATTTTAGACTAATCTAATTTTAGACTAATCTAATTTTAGACTAATCTAATTTTAGACCAATCTAATTTTTAGACTATTCTAATTTTAGACCAATCTAATTTTAGACCAGACTAATTTTACAACAGACTAATTTTAGACTAATCTAATTTTTAGACTAATCTAATCTGTTAAGCGATTTCCATAGATACCGTAAAAAAACTTCGAAAATTCGTGTTTTTCGGTCTTTGGATCCCTTTTTGGCGATTTAGGTACATTTTTAGATTAATCTAATTTTAGACTAGACTAATTTTAGACCAAACTAATTTTGCAGCAGACTAATTTTAGACTAATCTAATTTTTAGACTAGACTAATTTTTAGACCAGACTAATTTTGTAGCAAACTACTTTTAGACTAATCTAATTTTAGGTTAATCTAATTTTAGACTTATATAATTTTAGACTTATTTAATTTTAGACTGATTTAATTATAGACTAATCTGATTCTAGACTAATCTAATTTTAGACGAATCCAATTTTAGAATCTAATTTTAGACTAATATAATTTTAGACCAATCTAATTTTAGACTAATCTAATTTTAGACTAATCTAATTTTAGACTAATCTAATTTTAGACTAGACTAATTTTAGACTAGACTAATTTTAGACTAGACTAATTTTAGACCAGACTAATTTTTACAGCAGACTAATTTTAGACTAATCTAATTTTAGACCAGAATATTTTTAGATCAGACTAATTTTACAGTAGACTAAATGCAGACTCATCTAATTTTAGACTAATCTAACCTCATACTAATCTAATTGTTAGACTAATCTAATTTTTAGACTAATATGATTTTAGACTAACACAATTTTAGACTAACACAATTTTAGACCAACCCAATTTTAGAATAACCCAATGACTAATCTAATTTTAGACCACTCTAATTTTAGACTAACCTAATTTTAGACCAACCTATTTTTTTTTAGACTAATCTAATTTTCAGACTAATCTAATTTTTAGACTAATCTAATTTTAAACCAGCAAAATTTTAGATTAATCTAATTTTAGACTGATCTAATTTTAGGCTAATCTAATTTTCAGACTAATCTAATTTTAGACTATTTTCAAAACTATTTTACAAGTTTTTCCGAACGATTCTTTTGATTAAATCCAAAATTAAACCAAGAAAAATTGTAAGAATACTTTTAAAAAAATTTAGACTAGACCAATTTTAGACTAGACTAATTTTAGACTAATAATTAAAAATATTTAGAAATATTTTGGGAAAATTTCAGAACTATTTAAGAAAAGTTTTTTCAAACGTTTCTTTTAATTAAATCCAAAATTTACCCATGAAAAAATTGTAAGAACATTTTAGACTAGTCCAATTTTAGACTAGACTAATTTTAGACTAAATTAAAATTTTTTAGAAATATTTTGGAAAATTTTCAGAACTATTTTAGAAAAGTTTTTTCCAACGATTTTTTTTTAATTAAATCCAAAATTTAACCAAGAAAAAATTGTAAGATAATACTTCCAAAAAGTGTCAATATAAAGATGACTATCCCTTAAAAAAACGCTAATCGTTAAGAATTTTTTATGACGTCCTGTATACATTTGAAAATATTTTTATATGGTCTCTACAGTCATATTAATTTTTTAATTTGAATCTGTAATTTTTATGGAAATCCAGCTATAAAAAGTCGCATCACTGATGCAAGACCCTGTAGTTCTAATATACAATTCTTTATCATCACGAATCGCACATAAGTGGATCTAAGGGTCGATTTCTGAGGAATTATTTATAAATAAGGTGCAGAATCTGTAAGGCATAAAATGTAATGTACAGATCCTAATTACGGATCTTAATTTTAATTTTAGACTAAATTTAGACTAATTTAAGACTAATTTTAGACTAATTTTAGACTAATTTTAGACTAATTTTAGACTAATTTTAGACTAATTTTAGACTAATTTTAGACTAATTTTAGACTAATTTTAGACTAATTTTAGACTAATTTTAGACTAATTTTAGACTAACTTTAGACTAACTTTAACTTTAGACTAACTTTAACTTTAGACTAATTTTAGACTAATTTTAGACTAATTTTAGACTAACTTTAGACTAACTTTAACTTTAGACTAACTTTAACTTTAGACTAATTTTAGACTAATTTTAGACTAATTTTAGACTAATTTTAGACTAATTTTAGACTAATTTTAGACTAATTTTAGACTAATTTTAGACTAATTTTAGACTAATTTTAGACTAATTTTATAGATCATTTCAGAATCGATCAGTTTTATCCATTTTCATGAAATCCGTAGTGAAACATACCGCAACTAAAACCTCAATCCCGTGATTCCTCCGTCGAATTTAGAATCGCGCGCGCACCTATTGGAAAACAATACATATAATATCCTGCATCGAAAATAATATCATAAATAATGTGCTGCCAGGCGAAAAACAACTACCAATCGAAATCAAAACCCCGTCAAAATTTATTCTTTGACTTCGAAATATTTATAAGTCGGATTTTCGTAGCCGTTTATTTGCATGTTCGCTACGTGTCGCTCTTCGGGCGTGGCCGCCTGGTCGACTTCGACGAATCCTTGGCTTTGGGGCGATCTGGCGGTCTTGCGTCTGGCGACGGCCACGCCGACGACTATGGCGGCCATCAGAGCCATGCCGGCGAAAGCTAGCGTAAAATAGACGCTCTTGCCGTCTTTGCGACCGTATACTTCTCGCCTTACGGAGTAAGACTGGAAAAAAAACTAAAGGTTAGCTTTTAGATTAGTTATTTTCTTAACAAGTGCGGAAAGTGACTCGTTTCCGCACGATACTAAATTTAGATTGATTTTAGATAAAATTTTGGTTAATTTTAGACCAATTTTAGACTAGACTAATTTTTAGAATAAATTTTAGACTACACTAATTTTAGACTAACTTTAAACTTTAGACTAACTTTAAACTTTAGATTAACTTTAGACTAACTTTAGACTAACTTTAGACTAACTTTAGACTAACTTTAGACTAACTTTAGACTAACTTTAGACTAACTTTAGACTAACTTTAGACTAACTTTAGACTAACTAACTTTAGACTAACTTTAGACTAACTTTAGACTAACTTTAGACTAACTTTAGACTAACTTTAGACTAACTTTAGACTAACTTTAGACTAACTTTAGACTAACTTTAGACTAACTTTAGACTAACTTTAGACTAACTTTAGACTAACTTTAGACTAACTTTAGACTAACTTTAGACTAACTTTAGACTAACTTTAGACTAACTTTAGACTAACTTTAGACTAACTTTAGACTAACTTTAGACTAACTTTAGACTAACTTTAGACTAACTTTAGACTAACTTTAGACTAACTTTAGACTAGACTAACTTTAGACTAACTTTAGACTAACTTTAGACTAACTTTAGACTAACTTTAGACTAACTTTAGACTAACTTTAGACTAACTTTAGACTAACTTTAGATTAACTTTAACTAATTTTATAAAAAAATTAAACTAATTTTAGACCAATTTAAACTAATTTTAGACCAATATGTCGACCTTTTTACAAAAACGACACTTGTTCAAAATGAGTTTTTTTTTTTTTCAAAAAAAAAAAAACTCAATAACAGTCTTAATTGACTTTGCAAAAAATGCTTTAAATTTTGCTCTGTTTCTGTGTTACTTTTGTAAGATATCACCATTTGTATTGGTAAATACAAAAATTGGCCACTAATTAACATAGTTGACTCAATTCGAGCATTTTTGGACAATGTTTTAATTTTTGAATGAAAGTCTTCAATTTTAGATCGATTTTGAAACAATTTGAGATCAAATTTAGATCAATATTAGACCAATAGTAAACCAATAGTAGACCAATATTAGACCAATATTAGACCAATATTAGACCAATATTAGACCAATATTAGACCAATATTAAACCAATATTAGTCCACTATTAGACCAATATTAGACCGGTTTTAGACCAGTTTTAGCCCAATTTTAACAAATTATAACTAATATTAGACCAAATTTAGAACAATTTTAATTAAAACTAGTCTAAAATTGATATAAAGATTAATTAAAATTATCGTCTAATATAAGACTAATTTAAGAAATAATGTTTGACTAATATTAAACCAATTTTACACTAACTAGATATTTATTTAGATATTAATTTAAAATAATTTAGACTAATCTGGACTAATTTAGACTAATTTAGACTAATTTAGATTAATTTAGAATAATTTAGACTAATTTAGACTAATTTAGACTAATTTAGACTAATTTAGAATAATTTAGACTAATTTAGACTAATTTAGACTAATTTAGACTAATTTAGACTAATTTAGACTAATTTGAACTAATTTAAGAACAATTTCAGAAAAATGTCCAGAATGAGTTTTTTTCAGGAAACACAAAAACCTGATATCGGTTCTAATTGACTTTGCAGAAACGCTCTAAATTTTACTCTGTTTCTGTGTTACTTTTGTAGGATAATCACCATTTGTACTGGTATATACAATAATTGGTCAGTAATTAACATAGTTAACTCAATTCAAGCATTTTTGGACAGTGTTAATTTTTAAATGAAAGTCTTCAATTTTAGATCAATTTTAAACCAATTTAAGATTAAATTTAGATCAATATTAGACCAATATTAGACAAATATTATACCACTATTAGACCATGATTAGATCAATACTAGAACAATATTAGACCATTATTAGAAAAATATTAGACCAATATTAGACCAATATTAGGCCAATATTAGATTAATATTATAGACCAATATAAGATCAATTTTAGACCAATATTTGATCAGTTTTAGACCAACTTTAGATCCATTTTAGACCAAATTTAGAACAATTTTAATTAAAACTAGTCTAAAATTGATGTAAAGATTAATTAAAATTATCATCCAATTTGACTAATTTGAACAATGTTAAACCAATTATACACTGATTTTAGACTAATTCAGACTAATTTAAAATAATTTAGAATACTTTAGACTAATCTAGATTAATATAGACTAATCTAGACTAGTATAGACTAATTTATATTAATTTAGACTAATTTAAAAACAATTTTAGACCAATTTATCGACCTTTTTACAAAAACGACACATGTCCAAAATGAGTTTTTTTTTCAGGAAACCCAAAAACCCAATATCAGTTCTAACTGATTTTGCAGAAACGCTCAAAATATTACTGTTTCTGTGTTACTTTTGTAGGATATCACCATTTGTACCGGTAAATACAATTAGCCACTAATTAACATAGTTAACTCAATTCGAGCATTTTTAAACGATGTGTTAGTTTTTGAATGAAAGTCTTCAATTTTAAACCAATTTTAGATGAAATTTAGATCGATATTAGACCAATATTAGACCAAAATTAGACCAATATTAGATCAATAGTTTATGGGAGCGTTGAGCACACTTTTCAAACTGCACATGCGCGGCCATAGCTACGAAGTTGGCTAACCTAATGACAGATGTCAAAAATCAATCTAACCGAAGCGCCATTTTGTCAAAAAGGCATCCAACCTAAGCGCTATTTTAGCCAAAAGTCATCTAACCTAAGTGTCATCTAACCTGGGAAAAAACATCTAACCTACCAACATGTCAACTGTCAACCTAACTTAGAGGTGAAAGTGGCCCAGTTGGGGGGGAGTAGAAACGATGTTTACGTAAAAGTAACATGATTCCAAAAGATGACGCTACCTATCAAAAAACCTGTCAATAAAGGATAAAGGTTTGCGACTTGGCTAAGTCATTAGCTAAGCAAGATGCCTGTCATTTTATCTGTACTTTTGTCTGTCTATCTGTCTTTCCGTTTGTCTACCTAAGATCGTTTTGGCCATTTTACTATTTTTTCAACGCACGCAATTTCCCCCAACTCCTTCAGTCCCCCATGTTATTCTATTTCAGCCTCCTCCTCAGCCTTCAGCTCTTCATATCTTCAGGCATCATGGCTTTTCGTGTATGACACTTAGGTCTCATCCACCCCAGCCTCCAGTTCTTCAGGCGTTAGGCCTAAGCCTTTGTTTCTCTTAGGTCATACTCCAGTTCTTCATGTAGCCTGGCGTTAGGTTGGTTGGCTTACGGCCACGTCGTAGGACTTTTCAACGCATATAATTTCCCCCATTTTGTTCTGTTTGATTTTATTCGACGTTGTCCCCCCACTCCCCTTATTTTTTCTGTTTAATTCTATTCAATAAAGATATGGCATATGACTGGTAATACGGTAACATGGTGCCTTTTGGAAGATGGCCATCTTGGATCGCTTAGCCGCGTCGCAAGCCGACCCATTGACAGGTGACGTCTCCCCACTCCTCCCATCCTGAGGTAGCAAATTGCAAGTTAGTTTGGCAAAGCTGTTGTTAGAACTCAGGATAAAAAATGGCGCGGATAGAAAATGGCGTTAGATATTAGCTCAGGTTAGGTTAGCAACGCTCAATACCATATGTTAGATCGTTGTGTCCATGTAAGTTAGATTGATTTTTGACATCTGTCATTAGGTTAGCCAACTTCGTAGCAATGGCCTGCGTAGGTTAGGTTGGCAACACTGGTGACAGATGCCATAGGTTAGATTGATTTTTGACATCTGTCGTTAGGTTAGCCAACTTCGTAGCTATGTCTGCACGTCACGATAGCCGCCATTTTGCTTAGCAAACCTTTATTTTGTTGACAGGTTTTTTGACAGGTAGCGTCATCTTTTGAAATCATGTTACTTTTACTTTTACGTAAACATCGGTTCTACTTCCCCCAAGTGGGCCACCTTCACCTCGTTAGGTTAGGTTGACAGTTGACATGTTGGTAGGTTAGATGCCTTTTTCAGATGCCTTTTCCTAGGTTAGATGACTTTTGGCTAAAATGGCGCTTAGGTTAGATGTCTTTTTGGCAAAATGGCGCTTAGGATAGCCAACTTCGTAGCTATGGCCACGCATGCGCAGTTTGAAAAGTGAGTTCAACGCTCCCATAAACTACTTAGATCAATATTAGACCAACATTCGACCAATATTAGACCAATTTTAACTAATAGACCAATTTTAAAACAATTTTAATTCAAACTAGTCTAAAATTGATGTAAAGATTAATTAAAATTATCGCCTAATTTAAGACTAATTTAAAAAATTAACAATATTAGAATAATTCTAGACATATTTTAGACTAATTTAATTTAGACTAACTTAGACTAATTTAGACTAATTTAGACTAATTTAGACTCATATAGAGTCATTTAGACTCATTTAGACTAATTTAGACTAATTTAGACTAATTTAGACTAATTTAGAATAATTTAGACTAATTTAGACTAATTTAGACTAATTTAGACTAATTTAGACTAATTTAGACTAATTTAGACTAATTTAGACTAATTTAGACTAATTTAGACTAATTTAGACTAATTTAGACTAATTTAGACTAATTTAGACTAATTTAGACTAATTTAGATTATACTAATATAGACCAATTTAGAATAATTTGGACGAATTTGGACTAATTTAGATCAATTGGACGTAGTTATGCAGAAATGATCCAATCCACCCAAACCATATTTTGAGAAAAATGATGTTAAAGTTAAAGTCTCTATGCGATAACAATAGAATATATAGCGAGTTTTTATAATTTTTACCATTAATATCCTTCTAAATTGTTGGATCGTTTCAGCAGAATATAATTTTGGATTGTAACATATTGAAATGCTACTCAAGTCATTTCTGGTAAATTTGTGGATTGGATCATTTCTGCATAACTACGTCCAATTTAGAATAATTTAGACCATATAAACCAATTTGAATTAATTGAGACTAATTTAGACTAATTTATACTAATTTAGACTAATTTATACTAATTTAGACTAATTTAGACTAATTTAGACTAATTTAGACTAATTTAGACTAATTTAGACTAATTTAGACTAATTTAGACTAATTTAGACTAATTTAGACTAATTTAGACTAATTTAGACTAATTTAGACTAATTTAGACTAATTTAGACTAATTTAGACTAATTTAGAATAATTTGGACTAATTGAGACTAATTTATACTAATTATAGACTAATTTGACGAATTTTAAACTAATTTTAGACACATTTTAGATTAGTTAATATATTTAACCGTTGCTTGAACTAAGTAAAGGGAAGATCGGGCCGGCGCAGTCGTATGAGAAAAAGAGTTACTTTCCGCAATTCACAGGAACGTGAGAAAATTAAAAAGTTATTAATACGAACGAACATTGATTCTACATAAAAACCAAAAATTTCTTAAAACGCAAAAGTAACTTGTCAACTAATGCATTAATACTACGAAAATTTGATATATTTCTCTGCCTATAACAGTAATTAATAGTTTTTACAGTTATGTGTCTTTACATGTAAACGAAGCGTTACTGGTATTAGACAAAATTATTTCTGTAAAGTTTTAGAATTTTAGGAAATTTTAGACTAATTTTAAACTAATTTTTGGATTATTTTAGACTAATTTTCAGACTAATTTTAGACTAATTATAGATCAATTTTAGACCAATTTTAGACTAATTTTAGATTAATTTTAGACCAATTTTAGATTAATTTTAGACCAATTTTAGATTAATTTTAGACCAATTTTAGATTAATTTTAGACTAATTTTAGACTAATTTTAGACTAATTTTAGACTAATTTTAGACTAATTTTAGACTAATTTTAGACTAATTTTAGACTAATTTTAGACTAATTTTAGACTAATTTTAGACTAATTTTAGACTAATTTTAGACTAATTTTAGACCAATTTTAGACTAATTTTAGACTAATTTTAGACTAATTTTAGACTAATTTTAGACTAATTTTAGACTAATTTTAGACTAATTTTAGACTAATTTTAGACTAATTTTAGACTAATTTTAGACCAATTTTTGGACTAATTTTAAACTACTTTTAGACCAACTTTAAACCTATTTTAGGCCAATTTGAGCTAATTTTAGACTAATTTTAGACAACTATTTTTAGACTACTTTTAGATCAATTTTAGACTAATTTTAGACTAATTATAGACTAATTATAGACTAATTATAGACTAATTATAGACTATTTATAGACTAATTATATACTAATTATAGACTAATTATAGACTAATTATAGACTAATTATAGACTAATTATAGACTAATTATAGACTAATTATAGACTAATTATAGACTAATTATAGACTAATTTTAGGCTAATTTTAGACTAATTTTAGACCAATTTTTGGACTAATTTTTAACTATTTTTAGACTAACTTTAAACCTATTTTAGACCAATTTGAGCTAATTTTAGACAACTATTTTTAGACTACTTTTAGATAAATTTTAGACTAATTATAGACTAATTATAGCCTAATTATAGACTAATTATAGACTAATTATAGACTAGACTAATTATAGACTATTTTTTTACTTACGGTTTTAAGTATACATAAATTTAAGATACTGATAAGAAAGCGAACTACGAAACCAAATAAAATACTTACAGGTTCACCGTGGCTGATTTCGTGGTTCAAGACGTGCGCTACTCTAATAATGTCTTGTCGATGAGACGCGGCTTTTGCAACTTGCTCGACGGCTTCTTGTACTGCGGCGTCGTCTACGTTGTGATTTTCTGAAGTTGCCGTTATCGAATTGCTCATAATTTCGGCGAAAGTGATGCCTGATGTTGGTTGAGATGTAGTCTGAAGAAGAAAACAAAAAAAAAGTTAAAAAAGAATAGTGTTGACAAGACCAATTTAATTATTGTCAAATCGTTTTTTCAGGTTATCAAAAAAAGCGGTTTTGGAAACAGTAAATACCAAAATTACAAAAAAAATAATTTTTCCTACGACCACTTAGGAAAGTGACACATATCACACTATATAGACCTATGGAAAGTGCCCTATATCACACGCGTATGAATAAGAATTTACTTTCCACCCAAGTGAGAATATGCTACTTTCCGCAGTAGCTGTCAGAAAATGTCAAACACATAATTTCTATTTTGATCTATGTAATGTCCATATTAATACTAAAATCGATATGATTGTTAAATTATTGTAAATTAGATCCTAGATATTTATCTTTAACAATTATTTTTAAAATAATTTTAAAATAACTAAGATATATTTGCTTTTTATTCTGGTTAAACACATAAGCGATTAGATCAATCAATTACCGTAAGGCCTGTTAGCTCAGTTGGTTAGAGCATCAACTTTGCAATTTGAGACCGTCCAACGACCGCGATCGAATCCTGGCTGTGCCAGATTTTTTTTTTTATTTTTTTTTTTTATTTTTTTTTATTTGTTTAGAAATTATGAAAATTTAATAAATACGATTATTGTTGATTATTTTTTTAAATACATTTTAATTATTATAATAATCTGGTTTTACATTTTTTGATGAAATTATTTTGTGGTCGTAGGAAAAATATTGTACATCACTTGTGTGAAAAGTGATTTTCCACACTCGTAATGTAATATACTATATTTTCTCTTCTGTAATCCTTTGATCGCCCTTTGCTTCTCTACTCTTCTCTCTGCTAACTACCAATCCGCTTCTCTTCGCAGCCCATCATTTGCTTCCCTCGTTTTCACTCTTGGTAAAACATTATTTTTACCTTCTGGTCTATTTAGTTTATTTAACTCTGACAATTTTAAATTAATTAATTGAGAATCCTCTAAATTCAGTAAAACAAAACTTTCGAAATCATCACTGGAGCCAGCATCATTATAATTTGTTAAATTTTATTACATTTTTTGGGACGTCGTATTTCCCATTTTTCATTTTTCCATTTTCCAGTTTCCATTTTTCCATTTTTCCATTTTCCCATTTTCCCATTTTCCCATTTTCCTTTTTTCCACTTTTCCATTTTTCCTTCTTTCCATATTTCCATTTTTCCTTCTTTCCATATTTCCATTTTCCATTATTCCTCTAAATTCAGTAAAACAAAACTTTCCGAATCATCACCACTCCAGTATCATTATAATTTGTCAAATTTTAATAATTTTTTGGGACGTGACTTTCCATTTTTTAATTTTTTCATATTCCATTTTTCCAGTTTACCGATTTTTCAGTTTTCCCAATTTCCGATTTTCCAATTTTCTAGTTTTTTTCAGTTTTCAGTTTTTTCAGTTTTTTCAGTTTTTTCAGTTTTTTCAGTTTTTTCCAGTTTTTTCAGTTTTTTCGGTTTTTTCAGTTTTTTCAGTTTTTTCAGTTTTTTCAGTTTTTTCAGTTTTTTTTGTTTTTTCAGTTTTTTGAGTTTTTTCAGTTTTTCAGTTTTTTCAGTTTTTCAGTTTTTTCATTTTTTTGTTTTTTTAGTTTTTTTTGTTTTTTTTGTGTTTTTTCAGTTTTTTCAGTTTTTTCAGTTTTTTTGTTTTTTTTTTGTTTTTTCAGTTTTTTCAGTTTTTTCAGTTTTTCAGTTTTTTTTGTTTTTTCAGTTTTTTGAGTTTTTTCAGTTTTTCAGTTTTTCAGTTTTTTCAGTTTTTCAGTTTTTTCAGTTTTTTCAGTTTTTTCAGTTTTTTCAGTTTTTTCAGTTTTTTCAGTTTTTTCAGTTTTTTTGTTTTTTTTTTTTTGTTTTTTTTTTTGTTTTTTTTTTTGTTTTTTCAGTTTTTTCAGTTTTTTCGGTTTTTTCGGTTTTATCAGTTTTTTCAGTTTTTCAGTTTTTCAGTTTTTTTTGTTTTTTCAGTTTTTTGAGTTTTTTCAGTTTTTTCAGTTTTTTCAGTTTTTTCAGTTTTTTTGTTTTTTTTTTTTGTTTTTTCAGTTTTTTCAGTTTTTTCAGTTTTTCAGTTTTTTCAGTTTTTTCAGTTTTTTCAGTTTTTTCAGTTTTTTCAGTTTTTTCAGTTTTTTCAGTTTTTTCAGTTTTTTCAGTTTTTTCAGTTTTTTTGTTTTTTTTTTTTTGTTTTTTCAGTTTTTTTCAGTTTTTTCAGTTTTTTCAGTTTTTTCAGTTTTTTCAGTTTTTTCAGTTTTTTCAGTTTTTTCAGTTTTTTTAGTTTTTTTAGTTTTTTCAGTTTTTTTGTTTTTTTTTTGTGTTTTTTCAGTTTTTTCAGTTTTCCAAGTTTCCAAGTTTCCAAGTTTCCAAGTTTCCAAGTTTCCAAGTTTCCAAGTTTCCAAGTTTCCAAGTTTCCAAGTTTCCAAGTTTCCAAGTTTCCAAGTTTCCAAGTTTCCAAGTTTCCAAGTTTCCAAGTTTCCAAGTTTTCAAGTTTTCAAGTTTTCAAGTTTTCAAGTTTTCAAGTTTTCAAGTTTTCAAGTTTTCAAGTTTTCAAGTTTTCAAGTTTTCAAGTTTTCAAGTTTTCAAGTTTTCAAGTTTTCAAGTTTTCAAGTTTTCAAGTTTTCAAGTTTTCAAGTTTTCAAGTTTTCAAGTTTTCAAGTTTTCAAGTTTTCAAGTTTTCAAGTTTTCAAGTTTTCAAGTTTTCAAGTTTTCAAGTTTTCAAGTTTTCAAGTTTTCAAGTTTTCAAGTTTTCAAGTTTTCAAGTTTTCAAGTTTTCAAGTTTTCAAGTTTTCAAGTTTTCAAGTTTTCAAGTTTTCAAGTTTTCAAGTTTTCAAGTTTTCAAGTTTTCAAGTTTTCAAGTTTTCAAGTTTTCAAGTTTTTTTCAATTTTTCAATTTTTCAAGTTTCCAAGTTTCCAAGTTTTCAAGTTTTCAAGTTTTCAAGTTTTCAAGTTTTCAAGTTTTCAAGTTTTCAAGTTTTCAAGTTTTCAAGTTTTCAAGTTTTCAATTTTTCAAGTTTCCAAGTTTCCAAGTTTCCAAATTTCCGAATTTACAAGTTTACAAGTTTTCAATTTTCCAAGTTATTAAGTTACCAAGTTTTTAAGTTTGTACGTTTTCAAGTTTATAAATTTTTAAGTTTCCACGATTCTAAGTTTGCACGTTTCCAAGTATTCAAGTTTCCAAGTTACCAAATGACTAATTTTCAAAGTTACCAAGTTTCCAAATTTCCAAGTTTCCACGATTCTAAGTTTACACGTTTCAACGATTCTAAGTTTACACGATTCTAAGTTTCCAACTTTTCAAGTTATAAGTTTCCAAGGTTCCAAGTTTCCAAGTTTCCAAGTTTCCAAGTTTCCAAGTTTCCAAGTTTCCAAGTTTCCAAGTTTCCAAGTTTCCAAGTTTCCAAGTTTCCAAGTTTCCAAGTTTCCAAGTTTCCAAGTTTCCAAGTTTCCAAGTTTCCAAGTTTCCAAGTTTCCAAGTTTCCAAGTTTCCAAGTTTCCAAGTTTCCAAGTTTCCAAGTTTCCAAGTTTCCAAGTTTCCAAGTTTCCAAGTTTCCAAGTTTCCAAGTTTCCAAGTTTCCAAGTTTCCAAGTTTCCAAGTTTCCAAGTTTCCAAGTTTCCAAGTTTCCAAGTTTCCAAGTTTCCAAGTTTCCAAGTTTCCAAGTTTCCAAGTTTCCACGTTTCCAAATTTTCAAATTTCCAGATTTTCAAGTTTAAACGTGTCCACGTTTCCAAGTTACCAAGTCACCAAGTTTTCAAGATTCTAAATTTCCAAGTTTCCACATTTCCAAGTTTTCGTGTATTTATTTTCGTATCTTCGTATTTTCGTACCTTTATACCTTCGTACTTTCGTACCTTCGTACTTTACTTTCGTACTTTACTTTACTTTCGTATTTTCAATACTTTTGAAATAAATGTTAATTTCTTCTTAATTGGTACGAATAAAAAGAATATTTAAATGTCCGTAAATTAATTTTACAACACATCTAATCGTCTGCTCAACTTCAGTGACTTCTCATTATTACAACTTCACCTACGTGTTTGTTCCGAATCCAGTTCCGCATAATTTACGTGCGAAACCTTCCATGTTATCGCGTGCCTTCAACAACTTTTATTTTTGGACAACACGCATTCAAAAAAGAAAATTCCTTATCAGCACAAGGTCAAACCCGTTTTATTATTTTTACTTTTACAGCGATATCTCTGCAATTCCTATTTACAGAATTAATTTTATACCATTTGGATCTTTTTTTACTGAAAACCACACACGCATTAAGTTTAAAAATTCAATATTTCTTACTTTAATTTAGTTTCTCAGTTATTAGTTAAACAATTAAATACTTACAGATGTTCTTTCTTCAGGTAAAGATTCATCCTCCATATCTTCATCATCAAAATTGCTAATCTTCTTTCCTAAAGCTTCCTCGACGCGTTTTTTCTCCTCTTTCAATTCTGATTTCTCCTTCTTCCTCTGCTCCTTCCGTTCCTTCTCTTGAATCCTCTGTCGTACCCTTTCGGCCTGCTTCGTAGCAACCTCCGACTTGTACTGGTCCAGAATGGCTTGTTCAGCATCAGATGTCATGGCCAGAAGCGATCCAGGCGTTTCATCTTTGGAACGGAGTGCTTGAATGTAATCGTCCATTAGTTGTCCAATTTTTGATGCTAAATCAGGATACCTAAAAAAATATATATACATTATAATTTTCTTTAATATCGTTTTTAAAGTTTATATATACCTCTGCAGCATTTGCATGCTTTGGTTAACAGTTCTATCGATGTCTGTTAGACGTTCTAATGTTCTAGGTTGTTCTCTGGCAGCTGCTTCTATGCTGTTAGCCAAAAGATGGCGGTAGTGGCTAATGGCGTGAGCTCTGTCTTTATGTAATGATCTCAGAAGTTTTTGAAGGCATTTTTGAACACGATGAGTCTGGAAAATGCAATTGTACAAGTTACGAGTCGTTGAACTTCTTAGGATCATTATTTATACAAATTGAACAACCCCCAATTCAAATAAAATCAAAGTTATACTGGATTAAACCATATCAAAGATAGTGGAAGATATTAGAGGCTTCCTAGGGCTACAGAAAATATATAGGGACAACCAAAGCCACCAAAACCTTGACTTCATGGCTAAAGGAGGATGCTAAAATTGAATATACATCAAAGTTTTTGAATTGCATAAACAATATTAAGATGTTTCCATTTCCGGACCATTCAATTTGATAACAGATGTAAGCAAACTTGCAATTTTAGCACCTAGGCCTCCAGGATATTAAACTTAAATATTCAACCATTGGAGAAAGAAGTTCTTTCATCCATAGTTGTTTCAAAGGAAATTGAAGATCCTATCAGACCATCGCCTTCTCCAATGGTACTTTTCCTTAAAAGATCCCACCTCTAAGCTTGAAGTATGGCGACTAAACTTCAATTCAATTACTCTAAAGAGACTGTAAATCAAGGATTTGTTGAATTGGGAGTAGTTTAAGAAACTCATAGATTTAAAAACATTCACACGATAAAAAGTGACACCAAAACACTTAAAAAGGCATGCGAAGTTAGTAACGAAAATGATTTAACAGACAAAGAACCGTCACTGGAAAGAACTATGTGATAAACTAGGGAGAATTACATCTAGGATAATAATTCTAAATGTGGGATTTACAAGAATTGCTAAAAAGCGCTATTTTAATGACCACAAGTGAGAGGAGACATTAAGAAACCATTAAAAAAGTTTTGTAACTTACATTTGGAGGAACATCATTCAAAGCCTGAGTATAACAAGCCATCGCTTCCTTCTTCCTCTGATTAATATGTGCCAATACTCGTTGCTGATGCATAGCAGCCAGCTGGTGTTTCTCAGCATCTCCTTCCTCTTCTAGCGCTTGAACTGTCTGTTGAAATCTCTGCGTCATTCTCTGTTTAAATTCGTCCGCTGCCCGGGGATCTGATTGTCGCATATCCTGGTATCTTTCTTCCAAATCTGACCAGTCTTTCATTACCCTGGTAACTTTTTCACGATGAGTTTCTTCTAAACGCTCTTGCGCCTCTTTATAACTTTCATGTTCGTTTCTTGGATCGAAATGAGTGAAATAAGGATCCGGTGTAGCCATTGTTGTTGTTTTTTCCGTCGTAGTCGTACTGGGAGTCGTTGAAGACACTACTGATTTATATCCTGCAGTTGTGCTTGAAGGTGTTGTATCCCAATCGATATCCTCATCGTAAATGTCGTCATCATCTTCATCATCCTCATCATCGATGTTCGGATCATCGGATAGTTCGGTTTCGTCGGCTAAATCTTCCAGATCGTCTTTATCGATGTCTTCGTCGGATTCTTCGTCGTCGTCATCGTCTACGTTGTCGAAGACTTCTTGTTCTTTCTTGAGGATGGTGAGATCGACTGGTTTCTTTGGTTTTGAGTTTTCTGGAAGAGAAATGATTGAAATTAATCTTATATCTATTATGGAGCATTTTAAATAACTAAAAATGTAGTTAGGTTAAGATCAGGAGATCTTTGAAACCACGAATCTCTGAAAAGCGATGATTATGAATACATGTCGGTCTTATAATCTATTAAGCTGTAACTATAAAGAGTAAAACGACGTCATATATCAGTTTTAATAGTTATTTAAACCTCTTCTTGATAAATATTTCTTTACCGTACTCTTTACCTTTCATTGCACGTATATTACACAAACCAGTCTCTTTTAAGTAGACACTGGTAATCTTAAACCTCACCCCTTTACATTTGATGATAGAGAATGTGGCAAAAAGGACACGATATGGAATGATCAGGAACGGAGTAATCAGGATGAAATGCTAAAGAAGTACAGTTTTGTGGAAAACTTCAAAACCACAGAGCTGGACTACAAGAAAGAATGGAGCCAAAAATCCATCGCGCTTGCAACCAAAAGACGTGCTATTCAGTGGTATACGGACGGTTCCAAAACCATAGAAGGAACTGGAATAGGAGTGTATGGGCCGAGAACCAAGCCCTACGAAAGCTTGGGAAAATATCAGCGGGATCTCTTCATAATGGGACATCAGGAAATATTCCACACACTTCTATGGCCTTAAACGAGGCCATGACCAATGTCTTGGCCGTGCATTCATACGAAATTAGTTAAAATAGTGAATTTAAGTGACCCCTCCTTGTTATAATTAACATTATAGGTCAATACTGGTTCCTAACTAGATCGGTATTGGAAGAATTGTGGGTTTTTGTATGATTTTACTTTTGTCTCTCGTCCCTGAAAAACCGAATGAAAAAACAGGATTGTCCTCGTGTGTGTGTTCGTTACTTGTTAATTTATGTATATGAATTAGCCAAATCACAATACTACACAATTAAGCCCACGACTAGCACAAAATCATGGGAAGCCACGAATTTTTGCACTTGTTTCGTTTGCAATAACATTTGAAAAACATAAAATACAGTAAGATATCTTCTTAGAGCGTCATACTCATTGTTTGGCCATTTTTCTCTTGCGTTTAACTATTTTTCTGATCTCATCTTCATACTCAGATTCAGAATCATCTGTCAGCGCTTGGTATCTTCCAAGCGGAAATTCACGCAAACTTTTGCAAACTATAAATTTTAATATGTCACAAGCTATTGATATGCTTAGCAACTGCAAACTCTTCTTTGAAAATCTGAGATCAGATGAAGCTTTTGAAGGTTTTGTTCGGAGCGCCAAAATGTCTAGGGTCGACCCTGAACGGAAGACTGCACGATGACGTCATAGGCCAGCGCAAAAATTCGAAAACGTTTCTAGGCATTAATCTACCGCTCCGTAGTTTATTTTGAGTACCAGTGACTACGAAACCGATCATACGTATTGATAAACAGTTATATTTTTGATTTAAGCGCCAGAGTAAGTAAAACTTTAAACCGGGAGTTCCGTGGCAAATGACGGAGCCCTCCGGGCAAGTCCAAACTGGATAGAGACATTGTATTCGCGACGAGTTCGTGACCGAATCGAAGCCTCCACAAATCCGGCTAAAGTGAGTGTGAACATTAATGTTTCAAAGAAACATGCAGCCATTCTGAGCCCCAAGGTATTCAGATCGAAGCATCTACACCCCTACAAGACCGTGAGTACCAGCAAAGGGAAACAAGTAACTACTAACACCGTGGGATCAACTTCTCAATACAGAAGGGACCCCCTGACCAAAAATTCCCCTCAAAAAAGTTTGGAGAAAGAACATCCAGACAACCGCGACAGAAAACTAAAAAAGCTTGGAGAATACAAACAGAATAAGTTTAAAGAATTCAAAAGAAACTTCGGAGAAAGCCCTCACAGAGCTGGAAGACGTAGCCGAAACCGTCTGCAGTGAAGATATTGAAAATATAGCATCACCAAACGAAAGTCAGGAGAACACTGACTGGGTTCTTAGGTCGGATCCAAACGAAAGTTTGGAGAATCTTATAAATACAATAGAAGACTTTTCAGACGGGACAGAAAGTCCAGAAAATGGAAACAACCGTACTAGAGATGGAGGAAGACAATACCGAGGACGGAACCCCGGACACAATTAAAAAATCCACTTAGCTCACGGCGACAAGAAAGTGGGTAGAAAATCACGAAAATTATAATTCTGAATATATGACACTACCGATGCCAAGTAAAGTTAATGCCAGAACTTTGGACTTTGGCCAGAGCCAATCGTCTTCTGAAGACGGTACCATTACACCGGTATACACCCCCAAACTACCAAAGACCAGCGATAATGTAACCACAGGCGCAATCCCAAAAAAGAATTTGAGGACGATTCAACGCTACGAAGAAGTCGGAATTAGCCAATCAGGGGATGAACTGATTGCTTCCGGTTTGGCTATGTACCTACTCCCCTTGTCATACCTAACAAATCTCAACCCTCTAGTTCCGGCATCAACTTTGAAGCTAGATCTAAACAACACATTCTTCAGAATCCCAAGCGATCCCCAAATAAAAATAGGAGTCCTACAATCTGACTTACCACCTATCCTGTCACAAAATATTATGAACTTCAACACTGGAAATCATAAGGATGAAAACAAGGGCACGAATGGGGCACCATCAGAGAACATAACCCACGAAAAACTACCCCACTCACCCAACAGTGTATTCCTCCTAAGGAAACAAGGAGATATCTCACCTCCCGACTACCATTTTAAACCCCTAACAAATTAAGTTCCATCTTTCAGAAACTTATAAGGGAGAAGTCCAAAAAGACTATGAAGATGAGATCACAAAAATAGTTAAACGCAAGAGAAAAATGGCCAAATAATGAGTATGACGCTCTAAGAAGATATCTTACTGTATTTTATGTTTTTCGAATGTTATTACAAACGAAACAAGTGCAAAAATTCGTGGCTTCCCATGATTTTTGTGCTAGTCGTGGGCTTAATTGTGTAGTATTGTGATTTGGCTAATTCATATACATAAATTACCAAGTAACGAACACACACACGAGGACAATCCTGTTTTTTCATTCGGTTTTTCAGGGACGACAGACAAAAGTAAAATCACACAAAAACCCACAATTCTTCCAATACTGATCTAGTTAGGAACGAGTAATGACCTATAATGTTAATTATAACAATTAATAAAATCACTAGTTTAACTAAATAAATAAAAGTGAGTGAAGATTCTTGTTTAACATTGAACTTTTATACAATTTTTTTTAAATTATTAAGTATAGCCATTTTTTTCTCTTTTGTACATTTTTAAGTACTACTTTCGATCGAATATTTAGGATGATTATATGCCCATGCATATAATGGGCTTTTCCTGTTTTTTATTATTATTAGCTAAATTTAAATTTTTTATTATAATAGAAGAAAAATTAAATAAATGATTATCTATCTAGTTAAAATAGAACCATGTATTTACAAAGCAAAATAATAGAAGTGAATAGCTTTGTAAACATTTTTAAACAATAAAAATAAAAGAAAAATAGAACACAATCTCCGAGTGTTTCTTTTTCCCATATTTTTATTTATAAATTGATCACATTTGAGAATCGGAATTTATTTCTTTTCATTTTTAAATAAAATCCTTAAAAACTCTTTGACTGGACGCTAGACGAATCCCAAACCAGCCTCTGGACGGCCTCAGATGGTTGTTGTTCCTTGATATATGCGTTTCGAAGTTGGGTCGTATTTCAGTGACAAATATTGGATTTTCAGACGTTCTCTTTGAGTTTCGGAACTCATACGGATATTACTGTTGGCTTTAGATATTTTTCGAATTCAATAGTAGGTTTATTGAAATAGTCTGGATATTATGGAGCTGGTCTTAACTGTCACTAGTTATTGAAGAAAGATAAAACGTATTATACTCATTTTTCATTCCAAATAACTTGTTCACGAAAGAATGTATCGAATTTCGTAATAGACAGACGTACAACACGGATTTAGGTTCTTTTTAATTATTAATGGATTAAAAACTATAATTTCGATTAAGTCGCTTTTTTCAATTTATTTAGCTCTACACTTAACACGTCTTCTTCAGACGGCGCCATCTTGACAACGTATTCTATGCAAGTCGGCACAGGTTATCATACTCCAAATTTGGTAAAAATTTATTTCCGAGTGTTTTAAGAGCAAATGATCAAAAGTAAGACCTAAGCGTTAGAAAATAAAAACTTTGAAAAATAAGGGACCCTCTTAATATTTACAAAAAAAAAAATATCGAGAAAATAACCTTTTGTTCATATGTGTGGTAGAAGCTGGTGGTAGTAATAAAACACTGAGTGAAAAAATTAAGATTATAATGATTACCTATTTGAAATTACAATAATAATTATAAACGACAAACTGTCAGACTTACAGTCTTACCAACTGTTAAGACTAAAAAGGATCTAAGAACGTTGCAGTACCAACATAAGTATATTGTAATGTGAGCCATTTCATTATTCAGTCATGCTCTAATACTCCAAGTTCCTCTCTGTATTATTTGGCCTTTGAGGCTCAACTTGTCCGATTATTATACATAATTAAACCCCTTAAGACCAAACCTATGGGACGACTATGGTGGAGACACTTTCGCGAACATTCCAGAGTCAACGAGATATTATTTTTAGTCTAAATATACCGTGATAACGTTTCTGGTACATTCTGGCAATTTTGGTGGGGGAGCATTCTAGACCACCAATTTGTATATAAATTGGTGGAGGAGAGCCATCATAATCAGTTATTATATGGACAGTGAAGATAAATAGTAATTAGTAGATAGACAGTGGTGAATATAAATGTGATCAGTTTAAAGACATTCGAAGTATATATAAATTAGAATAGTTGTGTTATAAAATAAATAAGTGTTTAAATAAATTATTAATAAATAAACTGTTGTTTTAAAGTAAACAAACATCACAATATAATTTTGATTGTTACAAAAATATGGTTAGATTTCATTTTACTTGGGCTGTAATTTGATGTAT